AGAGGGGTGCAGGAGCATCAAGGAGTTCAAGATTAGCCTCACCGATATGAGATCCTGCCTTAAAAACAAATCAAAGAGGGACGAAAAGTCCTGTTGTCCATCTCCTGAGAACTGTGCGGGTTATGCCCTCTGCAAACTCAGTCCTTACAACACTGAGCAGCCTCAGCTCTTTCGGTCTTAGGGCTTTCACTCTTTTTTGATGCTCTCTTGAAAGGCAAATGACTAAGCATCTGTGTTCCCAAAGGGAGTACTTCTTTTTTTTCCTGAAGATTCTGGACTCTCACTGCTTGCTTGAAGCAAAAATAAACTGCCACGTAACGTAGACAGTGTTCTATAAGTCGTGGTAGTCAGTCATGGTCCCCAAATGTCCCAAGTTCTCCTGGAATATCATTCTTCCTCGCAACTACCTGTCTTCGTGCCATTTTGTCATTGCATGTGTGTGCGTTTATCTTGTTTCTGTAGCAGTGCAATTCTCTTTCCCCACCCAACTCAGTTGCTGACAGGGTGTCACTCAGTAGCCCAGGCTGTCACTATGTAAATCTCACTAACCTACTTGGCTTAAACCCCCCCCGACCCGCCTCAGCCTCCCCCGGTTTGGTTATTATAAGTGTGGGCTACAACTCCCTGAGTACTTAACCTTGAACTCCTTTGACCTCCTTGACATATCCTGGAAATTCAATAAAGAACTTCGCCCGAGAACATCCCTCAAAAACTCTTCCTGTTCAGATGGTAAAATACCTGCTAAAAAAATAAAAGGCCTTTATTCTGATGTGAGATGTGTCTGTCAAAAAACAAAACAAAACAAAAAATAACTCAGAAACCAAAGGCTGGGTTGCAGAACTCAAAGAGCTATGGCAGACATGTAAAAAACAGTTCTAAGAACACTGACAGGCAAACCTTCCATGATTTGGGGCAGCTGGCTGGCGTGTTTTCTGTCTGCTGGGAGGCAGTCGATCATGCGCTCCGCCTCAACTGGTAGCAAGTCTGCTCCTTGCTAAGCCCCCAGAGTCATCCAGATTTTGTGGGACGTGTCTGGCAGCTCATGCCTGTCATCCTAGCACTCAGGAGGCTGACGCTAAGGCTCCTCAGGAGACCAGCCTGAAGTATATTAACCTGCCTCGACAAAGAAAATGATACAACCCACTCTACTGACAGGTAAATGTACGGTCCAGTCGTGTGCACCAAGCTTCTAAGCGCACAGAGTTAAGGTGAAGTGAAAATAACCAGGACTGTTTATCAGAATATACCTCAGAAAAGCCTGTTCCTTTTAAGTCACCTCCCTTTAAAAAAATCACATTTATGTGTATGTGTTCGTGTATTCCTCAGCAAAAGTGAGGGGGTCCGAGTACAGCTTGGGGGAGCTTCCTTCTACCACGTGGGGCCACAGGGAGTGAACGCAGGTTGTCAGGCTTGATGGAAGCGCCCTTTATGGCTGAGCCATCTGGCCATCCCTAGGTTTGTTCCTTATAAAAGCAAAAGGTTGCACATGTCCACAGGCTTGGGCTAGGAGAAGCCAAGGTCAGGCTAGTTGAAGTGAGAAAGGGAAATTGGCATTTAGCGGGAGAGTGGGTGCCCTTTATCCCAGGGAACACCTCCAACCAGACTCAAGGAAGCTCTCAAACACAGGTCTTGCCAGATTCTCTCTGGGCTCTCGTACATTGCTTCCCGGCCTCTGTTTTACAGGAAGATGTTTTCTTTTTTCGTTTGTTTGTTTTTTCCCTATGTAGCTTTGGAGTCTGTCCTGGAACTAGCTTTTGTAGACCAAGCTGGTCTCAAACTCACATAGATTCACCTGCTTCTGCCTCTCAAGTGCTGGGATTAAAAGTGCACTCCACCATTGCCCGGCAGGAAGAAGTTTTCTTGAAAACTGCATTTATTAATTTAGTGTATGCAACAGAGGGAACAAGGGATAAGGAGCCCATGTGGAGGTCTGAGGACCAGCTCTCCAGAGTGGGTGCAATCTCTCCACCATGTGGACTTAGGGGCTTGAACTCAGGTTAACTCAGCCATCTCCCTAGCCTTTGCTTTTCTACACAGTATACTTTAAAAAGCTTGATTATAGTTAACATATTGTGTCTATTGGTCTTCTGAGCTTGCCCAGAAAGCCACTTTATGAAACCACTTATCATACTCAGTACTGTCAGGATACAAGTGTTGTCCTGGTGAACTGAGTAAGATGCCTCTGGGTTTGTGTGCCTATGAACTCAATGGACAGCAGAATGGATTAAGAATATTGTGACTACGGGACTGGAGAGATGGCTCAGAGGTTAAGAGCACTGACTGCTCTTCCAGAGGTCCTGAGTTCAATTCCCAGCAACCACATGGTGGCTCACAACCATCCGTAATGAGATCTGGTGCCCTCTCCTGTCGTGCAGGCAGGATGTTGTATTCATAATAAATAAATAAAAATCTTTAAAAAAAAAAAGAATATTGTGACTTTCAGTTGGGCAGTGGTGACATGCATGCCTTTAGTCCCAGCACTCGGGAGGCAGGCAAATCTCTGTGAGTTCAAGGCCAACCTGGTCTATGAAGCTACACAGAGAAACACTGTCTCAAAAAACAAAATAAAAAAAAAATAACGAGCTTGGTTATCTTTGGAAAGGGTCAGTTATACCTAATCTTTATTAAATCGAGATAAGTAGTATGCATTCGTGGCCCAACGAACGCTGAGATTAAAATACCTGTCTGGATTGCTACTGTGCCTTTAAACTGCTTCTATGACGACCTCCAAGGAAAAGGCCCGCTTTTCATTCTCAGTTCTGTAACCCTCTCCACACTTTATTCCTCGTGTTCCCAAGTCACATTGTTAGCCTTTCGTGCAGACCGGTGGGCAATTGTTTTATTCTGGCAGTTAAATGAAACTTCATTCTTCTGGGTTTTTTTTTTTTTTTGGCTAGGACTGGAGGCAGTTGGATCTGTTAGTAAAAGCACCACAGGACATCCAAGCGAGCGAACGTTCGCCTGCTGAAATGCACGCCCCGTGATTCAAGATGCAGCCCCACAGCTACGTCCCCATCTGAACGATCTAACTCGGAAAAACAGCTGAACTGAATGTCTCTCTCTGCGCTGACATTCCTACGACCGACCGCTGCGATGGGCCACCCCCGTCAATACTGTTATAGATGCACTGCGTTAGGAATGCAGATGCCACGGGGCTGCCGTGAGTACTTTCACACGTGCCGAGGGGGTCAGGATTGTCACCGTGTTTCAAGAGCCATTCCTAATCCTTTCAAACTACATCTTCTAGGTCTGAAGAGGTGAGTGCTGTTCCCGGAGTCTGAAACACAGCACCATGCAAACCGGGGATGGCTGAAGACAGTGAGCTGACCTGGCGCCGCAGCGACAATCCAACAGGAGAGGGGAACAGAGGTCACCTGCGCTCGCAACGCCAGGCCATAGCAACGGACCGACTAGCGCCGCCCAGGGGGGAAGGCAACGACGGAACCTGGGACTCTCACAGGGGAACGCAGCCCGGCAAAGGCGCGAATTTCGCGACCACAGGCCAGGCTCCGCCCCAGGGCGGTGCCTAGGCCGGAAGGGGGCGGGACCTTCGGGGGCCTGTCGCCTAGGCAACCACTTGCTCAACCCGGGCTTTTCAGAAAGCCTTAAATCCGGGGTGATGGGGGAAGGGCGGGAGGGGGAGCCGAAGGCTGCGCGACCCCGCGGGCGTGCGCCGGGCTGCCCGCAGCGTCCTCGGTACGGTGAGGACCCGGGCAGGCTCCGGCGCGGCGGGGGGGAGGGCTGAGATGAGGGCGCTGCTCCCTCCCGCCAGCCCGCCCCCCCGCCCCGCAGACCTCGGAGCTGCACACTGCACCCCTCGGGGGCCCCTTTGTCTCCAGGCCATTCCAAACTCAGCTCCGAGAGGCGACACAAAGGGACGGCGGGGGCGCACGGCGCAGGCGCGGGCGGCCGCCGAGGATGCTGGGAGTGGTGGTCCCTCCGCGCGCCGGGAGATGCCCGCCCGCGCGGGTCCGCAGCGGCCGCCGGGGGCGTGCGCATGCGCGCCCACTTCCGCCTCCCTCGGACCCGCCCGCTCGGGGCTGCCGGCGGAGGACAGCTCTGTAGTACGAGGCGTGCGGGAGGCGTTGCCGGCCCCACCACACCTCCTGCCCGTCCAGATTGGCCGCAGAGGTAAGAGCCGCGAGGGGATTGGCTGCCGCCGTTGCCAGTTCCGTCCGGTGCCGTATTTATACCGTGCCGGGAGGCGGGGGGAATGCAGTGAGGCTGGAGGCTGGTGGCCGCGGTGCGTGCGGCCCCGTATTGAGAGCCGCGGTCTGGAGGCTCGTCCCGTCCCGGGCCCCGGAGTGTCCTTAGAGGAGCGGGCCACCACCCCGCCGCCCCTGGCCGGCGCGCGGCTCCGCCCCGTAGGTCCGCCGCCGAGTGCCAAACTCCTAGTAAAGTTTGGCGTCGCCGGCCGCCCCCGCCCCGGCGGCCCTGCTGCTGCCGTCCCCTCCGCGACCCCGGCCCCCGGCGACAGTGACAGGCCACGCCCTCGCGCGGGCCGGCCTCGCGGCCCGCCGCCCCCCGGCCCGGGACGGTGAGGGGCGTGAATGCGGTGGGGGCGGGGCCGCCTGCGGGCGGGGGGGTGGCGGGGCGCATGCGCGCTGCGCGCGGGGCTGAATGTTTCCCAAGTGTTTGAAACTGGTATTTGGGTTTTCCACGTTGGACAAGTGCGGCGAGGCGGGCGGCGGAGCGCGCCCTTCCCGCTGCCGGCCCCGCTCTCTCCGCTCTCCACGCTGGTGGCGGGTGGGCGGCGGTGGCCGGCCCCCTTTGGGTGTGTGCGCGCTCGTACGCACGGCCCCCCGCGCCGCCCGCCGCCCGGGAGGGGGCCTGCACGGCCGGCGGGGCGTGCGCCAGAGCCGCGGCCCGCGCCTGCAGGCGCCGGGGTCCCCGCGGCCCCGGAGGCGGCGCGGCGGGCGCCAGATGTAGCCGCCGGCCGGCCCGGCCGAAGTGGCGGGGGGGCGCGGGAGGGCGAGAGCTTTGCATTTTGCAGTGCTGTTTGAGGGGGCCGGGGGGTGGAGGAAGCGGAAAGCCGCCGAGTCGCCGGGGACCTCCGGGGTGAACCATGTTGAGTCCTGCCAACGGGGAGCAGATCCACCTGGTGAACTATGTGGAGGACTACCTGGACTCCATCGAGTCACTGCCTTTCGACCTGCAGAGGAACGTCTCGCTGATGCGGGAGATCGACGCCAAATACCAAGGTACGGCGGGTGATGGATGGGCGGGGGCGGCCGCATCCATCCCCGGGTCCCGGCGCCGAGGCTGGCCGGTCCTGCTGGAGCCGGAGCTCCCGGTAGCGTCCTCGGAGGGCTAGGAACAAAAGGTCTGGAGCGCCTTTGATACGCCGAGGTGCTTGTGTGCCGAGCCCCGGGACATGGAGGAGGAAGGAGCGCGAACGGCTGGCTGCAAGGCTGCGCGACCAAAGCGCTCTTTGTAGTGAAGTGATGAGGCGGTGCTGCGGGGGAGGGGGCGCGGGGCTCGGCCGCGTCCTCGGGGAGGGGGCGCGGGCGGGCGGGCGGCCGCGCGAGGTGGAGGGCTGTACGGACGCTGCCGCGGCCGCAGGGCTGGAGAGACAGACGGCTGCGGGCCGGGCTCCCGCGGACCCGAGTGGCGGGTCCGGAGAGTCGCCACCCCCCCGCCCGGACCTGAATCCAAGTGTTACATAAAGTACCGGGCAGTCCCGACCCGGGGTCGCACGGTCGCCCGGGCCCTGCCTGCCTGGGCCCTCCCTTGGCCGTGGACACGGCTGCGGCCCGACCGTGAGGGGGCGCCGGCGCGGTGTCTTGCGGGGAGGAAGAGGGTGGAAGGGAGGATCGCAGCCGGCTAGGTGCACGACTGTGTGCTGCGCGGCGCGAGCTGGGCTCCGGCCCGAGAGCAGCGGGGCAGGTGAGGGACCTGCAGTCCTCCCGGAGACCCGGGCTGCCCCGAGTGGCGGAGAGGCGGAGCCTGCCCGCCCGCCCGCCCGCCCGCCGGGTACTGTGGGCTGTTGGGGAAACTTTGCTGCGAGGTCCGGGGGCTCCGTTTAGAACGTGCATGGCCGCTCGGAGTTTACTCTTGTTTACAGAACTGCGCAGCAGGGAAACGGAAGAGTTGGGGGAGGTGGAGGGCCGCCGCTCAGGCCCACACACCGGGTCTGCAGCGGAAAGCGCCCCTGCGCGCTCTAAGCGAGAGGCAGCTTCGCAGCTCGGTTTATAGGGGAGTCATTAACATACTGCGGAACGTTCCGCCTCTGCGGCGCTGTGATTGGCCGTCTCATCCCCCGTGGAATGTCCTTATCAGTGTGCTGCGGTGTCATTGGAGGGCGGGCTGCACGGGGGCGGGCCCTGCTCGGGGACGCGCTCCCGTCTGTGTTTCCGCTGCCTGCTATTCTCTCTGTGCAAGAGGGCCGGGCGGAGGGAGGAGGCGAGTTGATTTGAATGTCTTCGGGTCGCCCGTCCTCTGGCCCTGGATTGGTTCCTGCCGCCGCCGGGGGCGGGCCATCCTCGCGGGCCCTGTGTTTCATTGGTCTTCCTCCCGGGTCTCCGCCCTCGGCGGCGTCGATTCCCCGAGGCCTCGGGGCGGGGCGGAGCGCGCTCCTCGAGCCTCATTGGCTGGAAGGATCGCGGCCACTTTCCGGCCGCGGGGCCATGGCGGCGCTGGCCCCCGAGAGGCCGCGGCGATCGCCTTCTCGGCGCCGGCGCCGCGCGGGCAGCTCAGGACACTTCAGGCATTTCCGGGAGGCGTGAGTGAACGGGGAGCGCCTCTGTCGGGACTGCGGGTCGCTGTCCGGGTGCTGTCCACCTGGAGCCCCGTCGCCGGGGCCGGTGTGTGGGACCGGCTGTAGAATAAGCCCTTGCTCAGTACTGCCCTTGCAGATCGAGCTTTTTGACGGTCGCTCAGTGCTTCGGGAGTAGACGAGTCTGGAAGCAGGGGTTATAGCTTGGTCGTTGTAAATGGAGTCTGTTGCCTGAGTTATTTTTCAGATGTTATAACAAATACCCCTTTGGAAGCAGTCAAGTCAAAACTTAGTGCCGTCTTACAGAAGTTAAAATAGCTTTTTAGTAGTTGGATAGACTAGGTGGTACTGCGCGCAGCTCAAGGCCAGCTTTGGTTGTATAGCACGCTACCCCATGCTGGGTTACATGGGACTGCCTAAAAACCACACAAACCTTGGTTCATTTGTCTGCTGATAAGGTCTGACTGTATCCTTCGCTGATCTGGAACTAACTCTTATAGACTCACTTGTGTCTGCCTCTGGGATTAAAGGTATGTGCTATCATACCCCCAAAATGCATGTTTTGGGTTATCTTTGATAAGTCAGATCAGTTGACTTACCTATTTAGAGACCGGTAGTGTTCATCCTGGTGTGGGGATAGTGTCTTATGTGGTTATTCCTGGAATACCTCCAGACCCTGAGCATAGTCTTGTTTACCTGTTGAGAGACCATTCAGTGTCAGCCGGTGTTGTTGTCTTGTAGGGTTTTTGTTGTTGTTTTGTTTTGAGACAGGATCTGCATATGTTGCCCTAGCTGGCCTGTATAAACCACACTGGCCTGGCACTTCTGGCCGAGTTCCTATGTTTACTGTTGGAGAGAAGAGAATAGGTAGTAGTGGTAATTTTCTAGATATCCCTCTGGCTTCCAGCCCATCCACTCAGGTGTCCTAGTGAAAGCATTTCCAGTGGTTGCCTTAGAGATGGCAAAGGGGTCTCAAGAAAAATCTGATCCTACTTACTGTTTAAGGAAATAGCTCTAGGAATTCTGTGTATATAATTAGACTCTTGTAGTCACTTTTATTTTTAAAATAACATTGATTTTATTTGTTCATTTCTGGCTGGCCTTGCGCCTTTGCAGACTTTAAGCACTATACTACAAAGCCAACCATTTTATAGGGCTCCCTGTCTGTCAGCGGTTACAGATGCCCGCCCGGTCGGTCCCCTGCTTTCTTGTTGTCAGCCTTAATCGGGCGGGTTTGATGTTCGGGGAGAAGGGTCTCTACCAACGTGACACAGTGTCACTACACTTGGGTACAGGCACACACAGATGGGTTTGGCACTTGTGTAAGGTTTTGGGGGCTCTGTAGCTTCCACGTGCTGGGCTGGTGGATGAGGGCTGTCTTTAGAACTTCTTGTAAAGCCCATTACACCTCAAGCAGAAATCCCTCTTGCGCTGTGGCAGTGGGATACCACAAAGGCAAATCATGGAAGCCCCCAAGTCTCCAGAGACTCTTCGTTTTTGACACAGAGGGTCCAGATGTGTAACCCGGCTGCCTCCCGCTGCCCTTCTGCCTCAGTGTCACCGGCCTGGAGTTACGGGCTCTACTGAGCTGAATTCTTTGATTTATGTTAGATTACTTAACAGCTTCTATTTCTTGCGAAATTGTCTAATTGAATTTGCCAGATGACAGTTTATAAGCATATAGACTTATTTTTAGCCTTCCTAAAAAGGCTTACATTTAATACTAGGTATTATTGAGTTCTCGGAGATAGAGGCAGGCAGATCTCCGTAGGTTCCAGGACAGCCATGGCTACACAGAGAGACTGTTGTTTTTAAATTACTGTAAGCAGTAGGTTGGAATATTGTGAGTTGCAAAGTAAAATCTGTCCCTTTTGTTTTAAAGCAAGGCTGTCTTGTGACCAAAGCGTTCTTGTTTTCAGTACTATAGAACATCATGCTAGAGTGGCCGTGGAGGACAGATAACACAGTCTTTAGACCATAGGGCACCATCATCTAAGTCTGCAGGCCTTCTCTGTAGAGTACTCAGACACTGCGATGCTCAGATGCCCGGAATTCAAGAAGACAGTGCCTGGGATCCCCGCTGCAGAGAGGCAGGAGGATCCCTGAGCTCTTCTCAGATAGGGTGGGGAGGACAGCAGTACCCGGATACAAAGCAATACAGAATTAAAGCTTTGAACAGAAGATGATAAGGGAGAAGTAGTTCAGCTTGAAGCACTTTGCTTCGTCACCTCTCAGCTTCGCCAAGCGGGAACCATTGCTTAACACGGCAAGATTTTTACACAGGGAGACTTAGCCTTGGCTGTTTCTTCCCCTTGTGCCCTTTTTTTTAAATTACAAGTGGGCCTTTGATTAAAAGCTTATTTGTTGGTACTGGGTTTCTTTACCAGCGTTCCTAGCAGGTGTGTAATGCAGACTGTTTTTGTTTGCAGAGATCCTGAAGGAATTGGATGACTACTATGAGAAGTTCAAGCGTGAGACGGACGGCACCCAGAAGAGGCGGGTGCTGCACTGCATCCAGAGGGCCCTGATCCGCAGCCAGGAGCTGGGCGATGAGAAGATCCAGATTGTGAGTCAGATGGTGGAGCTGGTGGAGAACCGCACCAGGCAGGTGGACAGCCATGGGGAGCTCTTCGAGGCACACCAGGATATCAGCGACAGCACCGGCGGCGGCGGCAAGGCCGGCCAGGACAAGTCCAAGAGTGAAGCAGTCACTCAGGCGGACAGGCCGAATAACAAACGGTCCAGGAGGCAACGGAACAATGAGAATCGAGAGAACGCATCCAATAATCACGACCACGACGACATCACCTCAGGAACGCCCAAGGAGAAGAAAGCAAAAACCTCAAAGAAGAAGAAACGCTCCAAGGCCAAAGCAGAGAGGGAAGCCTCTCCCGCAGACCTCCCCATCGACCCCAACGAGCCCACGTACTGTCTGTGCAATCAGGTCTCCTATGGAGAGATGATCGGCTGTGACAACGATGAGTGCCCCATCGAGTGGTTCCATTTTTCTTGTGTGGGACTCAACCATAAACCAAAGGGCAAGTGGTACTGCCCCAAATGTCGGGGGGAGAACGAGAGAACAATGGACAAAGCCCTGGAGAAGTCCAAGAAAGAGAGGGCGCACAACAGGTAGTGCGGACATCCCCAGTGCGGACAGACCCGCCGGGGCATTTGTGGTGTCGCTCGCTGCCTTTAGCAAGTCCAAGGATGGTCACATGTGTGTTTTTAGAGAGTGTTAGGAACGGATCCTCTCCTTGGGATGCCGGAAACAGCCTGTGTCGTCATGGTGTACCTGTAACCAGACTGAGTCTGCAGATCAGCATTTTAGAAACTACAAATATAGGTTCGGATTAAACGTGTCAGCAAGTGTCAGACTGGTTTTTGGGGTTGGGGAATGACTTGGAAGTAACCTAACAAATGTATAAAGAAATTTAATTTGGCTGTTTTAACAAAAGTGTTACGGTTTGCAAAAAAAAAAAAAATTAGCCAGGTTGCTGAAGTATAGCAAGTGTGCTTCTTGCTACCATAATGTAAATCCACATGGCAAGTTGGTCAAAGGTTTAAAGTCTAAATATTATTTTTTAAAAAGGTAAATGGGTAAATTTTACATGACATATTTTATATATGGCCTATTCCCCAACTGGCCATTTTTAATGACTGGGTACATTTCTAGTAGGTCAGACACAAGTGGTCCAGGCTGTGGGTCCAAGTCTCGCCTTTGCTACCCTAGGTCATAGTGTAGCCACCTTTAACTTATATGACGTGTATAAATGTACATTTCCAGCCACCTTCCCCTGCTGTATTATAACCGGAAGTGCAGCCTGGTGCTGTTGTGAAGCCAAGGTGAGCGTCCTGCTGTGTGTGTGAGCTGTATAGATGTCACGTCCAGAAATAAATGAAACTTGGCCAGTTTGTTTCTTTAGCATTTACTTTTAACATACAAATCATTTTAAACTTTTTGTCTTAAAAATTTATACACCAGCAGTTTAGACAAAGCCTTAAGCAAATTGTATATTATTGATCTCACGTAATAAGGAAGTAGACATTACGTCCATGCCAGCAAATAAATGTCACAAACTATTTAGAGCAGAGGTTAGGAAGTGACTGTGTACTTGAGATCCAGCCCCACCGTCTGTTCTGTGTGGCCTGTGAGCTAAGAATGGTCTCTGTGTTTCTCAGTGGTTTTAAAAATCACATTTCATGATACATGAAAGTCCTATGAAATTCAGATTTGAGTGTCTATAAATAAAAACTCATTGGAACACAGCCATGCTCATTTCCTTATGTGCTGTCTGTGGCTGCTCGCGTAGGACCGAGACCGGCTCCTTGCCTGCTGACAGCAGTGTTGGCCACCCATCGGTGGCACACGTCCTAAACTGCCCACTTCTAGGGTCCAGACTCCATCCCTCCGTGCTGTGTGCGCTGCCTTGAGCTCCCGGTCTGTTGAAATTCCAGGCCTGGTCACTGTAGAGTGGGTGTGGCTCCTGTTTGTAGTGTCCTTCAGGTAGCTGTCTGCTGATGACTGATGAGAATTTTTCTTATACTTCCTGGTCTTTCCATTGTAGAGTTACTGGGTGAACACAGGCACAGCCCATAATGCCTTAAACTTCAGCTCTTTGTACATTGGGGTTTGAACTTTGTGCTCATTGACACAAGACTTTTGAGTATTTACTTTCTAGCAGAGTATTAGAACCTTTAAGAATTAATGTACCAGCTGGGCGTTGGTGGCACACGCCTTTAATCCCAGCACTCAGGAGGCAGAGGCAGGCGGATCTCTGTGAGTTTGAGGCCAGCCTGGTCTGCAGAGTGAGTTCCATCCAGTCTTCTAACAGTTTAATAGATGAGGAGAATTAAAATACTTGATAAAAGGAGCCAGAGAGAAGGCTCAGCGGTTAAGAGTACTTGCTCTTACAGAAAACTAGGTTTTAATTCCCAGTACCCATGTGGATCGGGAACCAATTCCTTCTGACCGCCACGGGACCAGGCACATAGGGGTAACCTGTGTTTATGCAGGCAAACACACAACTCATTAAAAAAACAAAACAAAACTGGTTGCAACAATAGGCAGACATCTCTGTTTGAGGCCAGCCTGGTCTATGTAACAAATTCCAGTCCATCCAGGGCTGCACAGTGAGACCCTGACCCAAGGGGAAAAAAAAGAAGGTAAGAACCCACAGTTGTTTGGGGTTTCTCCTTCCTAGTTAAGCCAGTAATGAAGTTAGAAGATCGAGAGGAGTACGTTTTCTCTATGCTGTGTTGCAGACAATCAGGTGGGTAAGAGACACCTGGATGTGTGGGCTTCATGCGTCTGTCCTTGTGGGGTTTGCTCCCCGGTGTGTGTGGCCCTCAGCTGCCCTGGGTCTGCTAACCCTGCTTATCTTGTGCTCTAGGCTCTCCACTTTCACAACGCCTGCTTCACGTTGATGTGGTTTTGAGAAATAAAGGGAGACTGCCTCAGTAAGCCGTGGCTAGCGTAGTGAGGCCTGCTGAGTTTCCTAATAATGACCCATGCTACCACCTTGCATGTGTACAAATCATGCCACTGCCTCGGACAAGTTGTACTGTGCTTGACTGGTTTGAATCACTGCTCAGTTCCAGTGGGCAGTCAGAAGTCACAGGCGAGCACCTTGATGTGTCAGAGTCTAGGGATGCCATCGTAAGAAGCAGGAATATATACCCTGCCACCCAGGCGGATACTGGAACAGGACACGTCTCTTGGGACGGTTGCTTCTAGCTGTTCAGTATTCACTGTGGACATAGCTCAGATAGGTCCAAGATAGTCTCCATGTAATTCAGTGACTTTGCTGATTATTTTCGTTTTTCCATGCGTATGGGTATTTTGCCTGCGTGACTGTCTCCACTGCTTTGTGCCTGGTGCCCACAGAGGCCAAAAGAGGACATTGGGTCCCTTGGAGTTAGAGGTGGTTGTGAGCCATGTGGATGGGTGCTGGGAATCAAACATAGATCCTCTGCAAGTGCCCCTAATCGCTGAGCCATCACTCCGGTTTTAAACTGAACAAAGGAAATGGTACATTGAATGAAGGGAGGTTTGGGGGGTTCAGGAGGGCTAACACCTCAGGTGCTAGGAAGGGATGCTGTCTAGTTACGGGACCCTGCCCACACGGACATTGACTCCTTTCCAGCGTGACTAAAGCTGTGCCTCCTCTGATGCCTGAGACTGGCCGACGGCAAGCTGTTTGTATGCTGGAGACAGTAGATACTGAGTTGACGTGTTTCATAGCTGATGTTCCTTGACATTGGGAAGTTTGGTCATCCCCAGCCTTTCTGTTAGGCAGAGTGACATTCAGTCCAGTCTCTAACTTGAAGCTCTTTGACGGAGTCAGCCCATCAAATGAGCTCACTGAGTTTATATCCCTGTCTTAACTTACTGCCCATTGTTTCATCTTTAGTCTCAGGATCCCCATGGCCAAATAGCTTGAAAGTTGATGGGATCTGGGTTTTTCCATCTGGAAACCTAATCTGGGCTTGATTTCCTGAGGCACAGGGCATGCTTGATCTAAACCTTCTCTTGAATTTGTAGGAGGGACTTGAAGGCAACAGATAGTTACACCAGAGTGGGAGGGGTAAAGAAGTGACCTATTGTGACTGGAAATTAGCCTCGGGGATTTTTAACTCATTAACAATGGGTGCTAAACTTACATCCTGCTGGGATTACAGGGTTTGTGGGCAGGAAGTGAAAACACTTGAGTCCAGTCCCTCCTTTGTAGTGCCTCTTGTTTGGTATTACCTAATTTTGTTCAGAAAGATAGCGTTTTCCCCATTTAAAATACTGGGCAAAGGAAGTTACCAGAAGATGTAATTGTAGCATTTCTATTAAAATCCCTGTGGTCAGATGTGATACACACATTTTTAATCCCAGCACACTGGAGGCAGAGGCAGGCAGATCTCTGAGGTCTAGGCCAACCTGGCCTACAGAGTGAGTTCCAGGACAGCCAGGGCTGTACAAAGAGAGACTCTGTGTGTGTGTGTGGGGGGGTGTTGCTGTGGCTAATGACTCTGAAGATATAGGCACTTGCCTCCAAGCCTGATGACCTGAGCTTACTTCCTGAAGACCTACTTGGTGGAAGGATTCTGGATCTCACTATGTAAACAGAGATCCACCTGCCTCTGCCTCCTGAGTGCTGGAATCAAAGGCATGAGCCACCACTTCCTTATTTATGTATGAGTGCTCTATATACCAGAAGAGGGCGTCAGATCCCATTATAGACAGTTGTGAGCCACAGTGGCAGTCATGTGGGAGCTGGGAATTGCACTCAGGACCTCTGGAAGAGCAGCCAGTGCTAACTGCTGAGCCATCCTTCAGTCCTGAGAATGGAGTCTTAAAAGTTGTCCTCTGACTTCCACTCCCGTGCTGTGGCACATGTGCACATGCAGTGACACCTGCTTGCACACGCAAGACATTTTTTGATGCTTGTTAAGCAAGCCAACTTTATATCAAAAGCGTCCAGCTTTGCTGGCACGCACACTAGGTCATCACTCACTTTTTGAGGGCTCGGGGATGACACCGTGTGCTAATGCTGCAGGACAAGGGCCCTGCCACTACAGTATTCCTGCACCTCTTGGTTACTTTGTGTTGCATCTTCATGTTGCTCACGTTGGCCTTGAACAGGTGATGCAACTGGGATTTTTTGGTTTTTTTGGGGGGGTTGGTTTTTGAGACGGGGTTTCTCTGTATTTTGGAGGCTATCCTGGAACTCTCTAGACCAGGCTGGCCTGGAACTCACAGAGATCCGCCTGCCTCTGCCTCCCAAGTGCTGGGATTAAAGGCATGCGCCACCAACGCCTGGCAAGTGTTTTAGTTTTACGGGCTAAGGTTATGTGGGTTTTATTTCCCGTGTTAGGTCTTTCTCACATCCCTGTGGCCAAGAAGACCCAGTTCTGCATTAGGGATTTTGTTTTTTAAGGTTTTTTTTTTAAAGATTTATTTATTACTGTGTATACAGCGTTCTGCCTGCATGTATTCATGCATGCCAGAAGAGGACACCAGATCTCATTACAGATGGTTGTGAGCCACCATGTAGTTGCTGGGAATTGAACTCAGAACCTCTGGAAGAGCAACCAGTGCTCTTAACCTCTGAGCCATCTCTCCAGCCCTGTTTTTTAAGGTTTTTTTTTAAAGACAGTTTCTCTGTGTAGCTCTGGCTGTCCTGGAAACTCACTTTGTAGATCAGGCTGGCCTTGAACTCAGAGATCCGCCTGCCTCTGCCTCCCGAGTGCTGGGATTAACATTGAGTGGCTAATAGAAGTGGCACAGAGGTGTCACTGTGCCACCAATGCCCGGCTTTTTAATTTTTTTTTTAATTAGAAACAGTCTTGGGATATTTTTCAATGATTGTTTGGGACATTATTGTGCTTACATTAGCTTGATTTTTTTTGGGGGGGCAGCAGCATAACTTTAGACCAGTATGGCCTCAAACACACACCTCCCTGCCGTGGCCTCCTACTGTTGGCATTACAGATAACCACTACCACATCCAACTGTAATGTGGTTAGATTGTGATCACAAAATTTAGCCTTATCAAACTTTAATAAATGTAAAATAATTGCTTATAGAGTAACTGTCCATTTACAAAGATACTGATAATTGATTTGTTTTCAGGGTTTTTTGTTTGGTTTGGTTTTTGGTTTTTTGAGGCAGGGTTTCTCTGTGCAGCCATGGTTATCCTGGAACTCTCTCTGTAGTCCTGGCTGACCTCAAACTCAGAGATGTACCTGCCTCTGCCTCTCAAGTACTGTGATTAAAGTCATGCACCACCATACCTGGCAAGAAATGATTTCATACTTCCCAAATTACTCATTTAGTATAAGGTGCTTCATAATTATTTCAGCTTCTCATATGTTTAAATAGTCTGGTTGCAAGTAAGAATAAGAGGCCTCGAGCCGGGCGTTGG